AAAAAAAAAATCATTCCTTTGACACTATATAAAAACAATACTTTAAATCAGTTGATCCTTTTGCTGCAATAAGGTCCAGCAAAGCCTTACCACTTCAAGCAAACCTACTATACCTATTTGTGCTCAAAAAGGAGTTTGGTTATTGAAGAAGTGCTGCTGGTGTCTTGTAAGTCTTTCCTTAGGATCCACACATCAGACACTCATCTCTATTCTCCAAAGAGCACACCATGGCTGCTGTGTTCCTCTCCTTCTCTTCTTCCTCTTTTGATGCCTTTTCCTTATCTTTCAGTTTCTCTTTATTTAGAGTAAACTGGATCGGATTAGCTGCTGGTCTTGTCCTTAAATAATACATACCAGTCTTCAAACCCTACAAAGGAAGTAAATGCAACTATTAGGAGAAACTGTGAGAACACTAGACATTCAAGACCAATGTTTAAAATACATTTCCATAAACCAGGTCAAACTGTTTTCTAATCTTGGAATTCTAACTCCTTTAGAAGCCCTCTCAAAAATGCTTAAAGACAGTAAGACAATATACTCTATTCCTTTTACCCCTAAAACAAGCTTATCTCTTTGGAAATGTCCATGTTCTCGTTCTCTAGCCTTTTTTTTTAACTTTTGTGTGTATTACTTTCAAGTTTGCCCAAGACAAGTTGGCAATAAGCCCTCCTCGATTTCGTCCACCAACCTGCTTCCAGCCGTAGAAGTGCATACTAGTGAGTTTGCCATAGTTAGGCTCAGCAATGTGGATGTTCAAAGACTGGCTTTGATCAATGAAAGCACCTCTCTCAGCTGCCATCTTGAGAATGGTTTTCTGAGAGATTTCCCATACAGTCTTATAAAGTTGCTTCAGGTCATCTGGAATTTCTGGTATGCTCTGAAAAAGGAAAACCAAATGTTTATTGCACTCTGGTTGCAGAAAGCTGTATGATTAACAAAATAATAACTCAAGGGTCTGACCTTACCATTCAGTATAACACAATATAATCCTTTTCAAGTTTCCAAAGACTGCTCACCTCTAGATTAGCAAGTCCAACAAAATCTCCCATCTAACCAACAAAATATCAGGTAATGATTTAAGATCCATCTTTAAATTGGTTTGTGGCCAAAACATTCATTGTTCTAGAGGCACTTAATAAAGGAGGGAAAAATCAGAGCTAAAGAGTAATAAATGACTCTTGAGTTTTGCAGAAAACACAAATAATCAGTCATACCACTCAGGGACATGATCCAGGGAAGCGATGAGTCAAAACCCTTTAAATAAGTTAGGATTCTACAAACTCTATTTGGCTTCAATAGAAAAAGTTTTCTGGGCCAGCAGAGTGGCACGTTGGTTAAGAGCTGGCTTGGGGGCCGGCCGAATGGCGCATTGGTTAAGAGCTGGCTTGGGACACCAGCTCTGAG